AACAATGTTAATAGCAAATATTATTCATGCACGATTAGTTGCTTTATTAATTAAAATAACTGGTACAAAATTATGTATGCTTTTAGTGATGTAATATCAAGTGTGTTAGAGCAAGTTAAAAATAATCTTTCACAAATTATTATTAATAACTCACAAATAATTCACTTTTCCAAGGTCAATAGTTTGGCAAATTGCCTCGATTTCTGCCCGAGAAGTTAAATTGGTCAGAATCCATTCTCCGTTATTTCACTGCAATCGTAATAGCAATTACAATTATAAAAAAAATATTTTAATGCATTTACATAATACCTATTATTAAACTCATATTTATGTAATTAATTCTAATTTGCTAAAAATTAATAATTTATAAATTTAAAAAATTCTTAATGTAATAGCATGTATTGCGTATTATATTTGACATAATGTCAACGAAGCTTTCGCTTAACATATCAATATAAGTGATATGATGTGAAACAAATAGTTGAAAATTTAAAATTATTTAAAATAACTTTCTATAACTTACAGAGAGAAAAGAAGCTTATTACACGGTTCCCGCGGAAACGGGTGCTAATATAGAAGTAAATGATCAGGATTTGAGGGAAGATATCATTTTGAAATCCTTAACATTGGCCGAAAATTTATCACTTGAAGCACAGCTTCAACCAGGCAATGAATCGTTGCCTTGGCGGAAAGAACGCGTCCAGCATCGACCTCGAACCAGTGACACGCTTCCATGGCGAAAAGTAAAAACAAAATCGAGAGATTCTTCTTTGGATAAACTTCAAGCTTTTGAAAGCCAAATAAAACCATGGACTGAGGAAGAAGTAGTTTTAAAAAAAACTTCTAAGGTTACCAAAGATGTAACAAAAGAAAAATTAGAAGAAGTTGAATTAAAACCGACAAAAATTGAAAAGAAAGAAATCCACGGACCAAGTCTAGAAACTGTCAAATTGAAACCCGTACCTAAAGATACGACACACATTATAACAACCGAAGAAGGAATTACACGTCATGACGACACTGCAACTGAATTTTACAAAGAGGAAATAGATACAACTTTATTAAAAACATCACAACGTTTAGACGAGACTGTGTCAAGAAAAGAAAAAAGCGAAGAGCTAAAACCATGGACAGAAGAACAAATTATATTAAAGAAAACAAAACCAAAGACAAAACAAATTTTGGAAGATACTATAGAAAAGATGGATTACACCGAACAAGAGGACAAGTCTTTGCTTACAATTTCAAAGGACGAAGAAACGCAAAAAATAAAGAAAGAAAAGTCTATTATAGAGAAAGGACCAGAACAGGCCAAACCTTGGACAGAAGAAAAAATTGCTCTAAAGAAAGCAAAACCAGAAAGAAAGGAGATACCTAAAGAAACACTTGAAACCGTTGCACTAAAACCTTCGCAAAAAATAAAACAAGACATCGTAAAAACAACTTTAGAAAAAGTGGATCTTAAACCAATTTCCAAGGAAGAATCCGAAGTAATTTCAGTAGAAGAAGTTACGCAGATTTCTACAATTCAAGAAGCGAGAAGGACGAGCAAAGACATAGATAAGATAACTATAGATAAAGAGGATAAAACAAAACCATGGACAGAAGAGAAAATTACTTTGAAAAAATCTAAACCTGTCCAAAAAGAAATTAAAAAAGAGGTAATAGAAACGGTAGAATTAAAACAATCTAAACCTATTAAGCAGGTATTTCGAAAGCCGAGCTTGGAAAAAGTAGATTTGAAACCTGTCATAAAAGAAAAGACAGATGTAAGTGATTATATTGAGCAGGAAGATACTACATTACTTCAAGTTTCAACTGAGACACATGACATTGCTAAATTAAAACCGTCAAAACTACGCACAAGTGAAAAATTAACGCAAAAAGAAAAAGATGACGTCAAAGATGTAAAAACATATGCTGAGGAAGAAGACACTACCTTGCTTAAAGTTACATCAGAGCATGAAACTACTATTAATATTGATAAAAAAGTAAAAAAGCAAACAGAAATTCCACAAGAAAAACCACAGTCAAAGCCATGGACGGAAGAAAAAGTAATTTTAAAGAAAACTAAACCAGAACAAAAAGAAATACTCAAAGAAACTCTTGGAGAAGTATCATTAAAACCAGTATCTCGAGTAGATAAAGAATCGAAAGAAGAAATTATAGAAAAAATTGATTTAAAACGTGTAAAAACAAAAACTACAAATTTAATTGATATTAAAAAGCCACAAGAAAAAGCACCATATCACGAAGAAGAGGATAAAATTATTATTGAAACAAGTAAAGATGTCGAATCTACTGAAACAACTAAAAGTGGAAAAAAAATCATTGAAAGCACATCATATAAAGAAAAAGAAGATATTGCAATTCTTGCCATCGATAAAACGGATGAAACAATTGAGAAATCAGCAAAAAAAGAGATACCAGTGCCATGGGTTAGAGGTAAAAAAGCAAAAGAGAAAAAAGAAGTTACAGAAATAAAACCAATTCAAGTAACTAAACCCGAAACTGAACTGAAAGACGAAATGCCTATGGAAATTTCAGAAACTCCGTGGCGTCGTAAACCAAAACCTTCAACAATTCAAATGGAAATTAAACCAGAAGAAACCGCACCTGAAAAAGAGAAGTTTGAAGAAAAGGCAGAATTACCATGGAAACGTGGAAAAAAGTCAACAATTATTAAACTAACAGAACCAGAAAAATCGGAAGAGCCAATAAAAGATGACATTAAAGAAATATCTGAAATAACATGGAGGAAACCCGAAAAACGTAAAACAAAAATTGCTGTTAAAGAAGAACCGACGCCTCAGATAGAAGATTTTACATCCATTATATTAAAACCGGCAAAACGATTAGAAAAACCTGAAGAACAGGAGTCAACAGAAGAAATTGTACTTAAACCAGTAAAACAAGTACCTAAAAAAGAAGACGAAGTATCAGCAAAAGTTAGTCTTAAACCAATTACAAAACAAAAACCAGAAATAGAAACTCAGCATGAAAAAATCGAAACTCAGCCTGAAATTACTAATGGAGATGTATCTACTCAGAAAGCAGATTTACCGTGGAGACGAAGAAAGAAACCAATTCCAAATGAGGAGAAACCCGAAGAGGTCAAATTAAAACCAGTGAAAAAAATAGAAAAACCTCAAGAACCAAAACCTGAAGAAGTCGTATTAAAACCTGTTAAAAGGCTTCCTAAAGAGGAAGAAACAAAGGAACAAATTGTTCTGAAACCAGTAGAAAAGGAAAAACCTGAAGAAAAACCCGAGGAAATTCGATTGAAACCTGCGAAAAAGAAAGAGAAACCCGAAGAACCGAAATCTGAGGAAGTCGTATTAAAACCTGTTAAAAAGCTTCCTAAAGAGGAAGAAACAAAGGAACAAATTGTTCTGAAACCAGTGGAAAAGGAAAAACCTGAAGAGAAACCCGAGGAAATTCGATTGAAACCTGTGAAAAGGAAAGAGAAACCCGAAGAACCGAAACCTGAGGAAGTCGTATTAAAACCTGTTAAAAGGCTTCCTAAAGAGGAAGAAACAAAGGAACAGATTGTTCTAAAACCAGTGAAGAAGGAAAAACCTGAAGAGAAACCCGAAGAAGTTCGATTAAAACCTGTGAAAAGGAAAGAGAAACCCGAAGAACCGAAACCCGAGGAAGTCGTTTTAAAACCTGTTAAAAGGCTTCCTAAAGAGGAAGAAACAAAGGAACAGATTGTTCTCAAACCAGTTGAGAAAGAAAAACGT